CACTATCAAATTATTCGTAGTGGAAAGAAAGCTTACTTTACTGCATAGAGACCAAATTTATAACTGAAAATGGTACATTAAAAAATTCCCTTATAAGTAGTGAATGTTATTAATTAAAAAAATATTTGGGTCACATTCTGAACCCAGTGTAAAACCTAAAAGGGGCGGTGGCATGCCATAATTCTAACACTCCAGATTTGTTGTTTTCTTTGTGGCCCTAGCACAAAGGATTAAGGAGGAAAGGATTAAGAATTCCAGGCTACTTTCTGCTATAGATGGAGTTCAAGGCTGATATGGACTACTTGAGACCATTTTTAAAAAGGAAATGGGGGGGAAAACACATCTAAAAAATCTAATAACGTATAATAACCTATAATATTACTAACCTGTAGATTTATTCTATAATACTGTTTAATTATATGAGTATCGATTAAACAAGGCAATGTTGTAATATAACCAGTTGCATAAAAATAGGATAAAAAGAAAGAATAATATTTCTCAAATGTTAATCATTTTGTGCTTTGTTTACACATTTTTCTATACTTCATCTTAATACTTTTTAAAGGGACACAAAGTTTTTAGCCTGGCCTAATAAATACTATCTATGAAACTTTATAGTTTGCTATACTAATTAAATTTTGTTCTGCTTTCTTGCAAAATAAAAATACATTTAAGCTGGGCATGGTGGCACATGTCTCTAATTCCAGCACTTGAGAAGCAGAGGCAGGTGGGTCTCTGTGAGTTTGAGGCCAGCCTGGTCTACAGAGTGAGTTCTGGGACAGCTGGAGTGACACAAATAAATCCTGTCTTTAAAAAAACAAAAGAAAAAAAAAACATTTTAATAGCTGAAGAGATGGCTCAGCAGCTAAGAGCATGTGTGCTCTTCAAGCAGAGCCAGGTTCAATTCCCAGCACCCACATGGCAGCTTACAACCATCTGTGACTCCAGTTCCAGAGGATCTGGCACCCTCACACAGACAGACATGTAAGCAAAACACCAATGCACATAAATTATATAAAAGAATACATTTTAAAATTTACAATATTCAGCAGGGCATCATGGCTCCTACCTGTAAGCCAGGTACTCGAGAGGTGGAGACAGTAAGATCAATGTGAGTTTGAGAGCAGTTGAGCATACATAGTTAAACCTTGCCTCAGAAACAAACAAACACACACACACATACACACACACACACACACACCCTGCATAACTGTTCATATGTTCAGAGGCTCAGAGGCTCCCCATCATGTAGAGGACTGGTCCCTAACAAGAAACCCCACCTGAGAAGAGCTACATGGCTTTGGTTCTGGCCAAGCGCCTGGTTACTGTCACCATTTTACACTCCACTGCCCCTCTACACAATCTCCTCTCTGCTTCAGATGTCCTGTCCACATCCCAAGTCCCTCCACAGGATCCTCCAGGTCCTCCCACTTTCTTCTATGTGCTGACGTGTGCCTTGACAACTGAACTAGCATTGGTGTTTTCCTAGTAACCTTGAATCCAAGCCATACCCTTGGACATTCCAAGCACCAACAAAAGTGTTAGGTTATTGTCCAAAAACAAAGGAGACTGATCCCAAAGCTGAGCCCAAATTCCTTATGTGAGATGCCTACACACACCCTTCATTGGACAAAACTAAATAAAACATCCCCCTCTTCATATCCTTTGCATTGATGAGGTGGAAGTTCTCATAACAACTTTGTCCCGGGATTTAATGCTTCTTTCTTTGGGGTCCCAATCAGAGCTATTGCAGGTCAGTTTGGGACACCTCTTGTGGGAACTGCCTTACTGCATGTCTTCTTTAGGGTTTCTATTGCTGTGAAGAGGCACCATGATCCCTTATAACTGGAGTTACAGACAGTTGTGAGCCTCCATGTGGGTGCTGGAGAATTGAACCCAGATCCTCTGGAAGAGCAACCAGTGCTCATAACTGCTGAGCCATCTCCAGATCCCACAGCAACTCTTGTAAAGGAAAACAATTGGAGTAGCTTATGGTTTCAGAATTTTAGCTCATTATCATCATGGTGGGAAGCATGGCAGCATACAGGAAGATATGGTGCTAGAGAAGGAGCGGAGAGTTCTACGTTTTGATCCCTAGGCAACAGAAGTAGTCTGTGTTCATACTGGGTGTAGCTTGAGCATAGAAGACCTCAAAGCCCACCCCCACCATGACATATTTCCTCCAGCAAAGTCACACCTATTCCAACAAGACCACACTATTGTGCGATTTTTCGCTCCTTTGACTTTTTAAAGGGCCTGCCACCCAGCTCTCAAATAAATCAGAGTCTTATTATTATTTAGGAATGCCCTGCTTTAGCTTGGCTTGTTTCTTATCGTAAACTAACCCATCTCTTTTCCCACTGGGCTTTTAACTTTCTTACTTCTGTATAGCTTACTTTCCTTCTTACTCTATGGCTGGCTGGCTGGCTGGCTGGCTGGCTGGCTGGCTGGCTGGCTGGCTGGCTGGCTGGCTGGCTGGCCCCTGCCAGGCTCCTCCCCTTGTTCTCTCCCTGCGTCTTGTCCTCAGTTCTCCTTGTATTTATACCCTCTGCCTGCCAGCCCCGCCTACCCTTGCTCCTGCCTCACTCCTGGTCATTCAGCTCTTTATTAGACCATCAGGTGTTTTAGACAGTCAAAGAATCACAGCTTCACAGAGTTAAACAAATGCAGCATAAAACAAAAGTCACACGCCTTAAAATAATATTCTACCATACCACACCTCCGGATAGTGCCACTTCCTATGAGCTTTTGGGGGGTCAATTACATTCAAACTGCCACACCACCTTTTTGAGGGCAACCCCAGTTCAGATCTGACTTGAACAAAACCACCACCTCCATTGGGTGGCAAAGGGTATGTGTGTGTCAAAGAACGTTTTCTGTTCTTACACTCTTCAACTGCCTATTTCATACTTGTTTTTTTTTTTCATTTGCCTGTTAGACTGTGGCCCTTTTGTGGGTGAGGCTCCCCTTTTATTCATATGTTTCCTCCAATGCCTAGCACAGATTCTGAGAATATGTGATCCATAAATATTTGCTAAAAAATAAATGAGTTGGACAGATTGTATTTTATTGTTGCTGTAATACTGGGGATTGTTTGCAGAACATGGTGCATGCTAGAAAAGACCTCAGCCATTTATAGCTCTATTTTTAACAATTTATTTATTTTTATTTTATATGCATTGGTGTTTGCCTGCATGTGTGACTGTGTGAGGCTATCAGATCACCTGTAACTGGAGTTACAGACAGTTGTGAGCTGCATGCCATGTGGGTCCTCTGGAAGAACAGCCAGTGCTCTTAACCAACCAGGAATCCATCTCTCTAGTCCTATAAGTTTTAGATTAATATTATTTTTCAAGTCTTCCAACACCAGTTGTTAGGATAGCACAGGAGTTAAGATTGTACATTTTTGACCCTCAAATAGGCTTTTACAATAGGCTGTTCTGTTATTCAATGTTTTTGCTCTTTTAGCGTTTTGAAGGGCCCACCACCCAACTCCCAAATAAATCACACATGGAGGCTTATTCTTCGGTATGAATTCCCGGCCTTAGCTTGGCTTGTTGCTAGCCAGCTCTTAACTTAGATTAACCCATCTGCCTTTTCCCTCTGGTCGTTACTTCTGTATATCTTACTTTCCTTCTAACTCTGTGGCTGGCTGGGCGGCTGAAAACAAGCCCTTCTCCTTGTTCTCTCGTTGCTCTCTGCTCTTGCTTCTCCTTCTATTTATTCTCTCTGCCTGTCGGCCCCACCTATTGCTCCTGCCTCGCAGTGGGCCTTTCAGCTCTTTATTACACCACCAGGTGTTTTAGGCAGGCAAAGAATCACAGCTTCACAGAATTAAACCAAGTCACACACCTTAAAATAATTTTCTACCACAGTGTTCCTCTTCACAGTTTGCCTGATATATCCCTAGTCTTACCTTTGAGAAAGCATTACCAGAAAACCTATAAGAAATCACCTGACTCCTTTAAGACTGGCACGAAGTGCATATTCTCACACCAGACTCCCTATCATACATATATATATGAGTCTGGCAGCCTAGGCTTGTCTCAAACTCTCCACGTAGCAGAGGATGATCTTGAACTCCTGCACATGAAATTTATGAAATGCTGTGATCTAAGGCCAGCCTTGGAACAGGATAGGTAAATACTTTTATTAACTGAACTACATCCTCAGACCTATGTATGTATGCATGTGTATATGTTTGTGTGTATCGGAAGCCAACTGTCACTATGTAGCCCAGACTGGCCTCAAATTCACTATTGTCCTATGGGCCTTTGAATGCTGAGATTAGAGCCATATGCCCACCTTTTAATATTAACCTAAAAATCTTGATATGAATATTATACATATTTATGAGATAAGTATGGTATTGCAGTGCATGCATACAGTCATATCAGGGTAATTGCATATCCATCCATTAACTACATCTTTGTCTTTTTTTTTTTTTTTTTTTTTTTTTCCAAGACAGGGTGTCACTGTATTGCTTTGGAGACTGTCCTGGAACTAGCTCTGTAGACCAAGCTGGGCCTCTAACTCACAGAGATCTGCCTGCCCCTACCTCCCAAGTGCTGGGATTAAAGGCGTATGCCACCAACGCCCGGCATCTTTGCCTTCAAAGCATTCAAAATCACCTGCATCTGCTACTTTGATGTATGCAAGTATTGCGCGTTGCAACAGAACTTTAGAAATTACTTTACTTCCAGAACTTGGGAGTGAGAGAGGGAGGGAGGAGAGAGTTAAGCTCCTATGTCTGACGAATGGAAGGTCCTTTGATTTGACGGCATATCCAATCGATTCCCAGAAAATCAGAAGAGCAGGAAACAAAATGGAATAGGAAACGGCAGGAACCTCTTGCTCACCCATTGCACTGTCTGCTGGGAAAAGTACATGCAAGACGCTCCTAACCAGTAATACGTCAACCCGAGGTGCTGATTCAAATAGATTGGGCGGGGTCTCTTGTCTTTAGCCCCGCCCAAAACATAGGACTGGAGCCTTGGGCAAAGAGCGGTCCTGGGCGGGGCTAGCGCGCCGTGTGACGGCATCACCCTGCGCCCCATGCACCGCCGGCCTTGATCCCTGTGGTGGAATCCGGAGGTGAGCGAGGGTTCCAGGTCTGGATTTTGGGGGATCAGCAATGCTGCCCGTCAGTCTCCCCGAGACGCGGTGATTTCGTTAGCAACTGATCCCAAAGTAGCTCCGAGTCAAAGTCTCCTGCCCGGCCGAGGTCCTGCAGTGCTTAGCCGGGCTGTGAGTTCTTGCGTGTATGGTAGCAGGCTGTAATGGCTGTAATAAAGGCAGGCAGCGGGGTGCAGTGAGTGCTGTGACCTCGAGATCGGACCCTTTTAACGACAAGGAATAAACCCCGCAGACTAGGGGTTTCAAACAACACCGTTTTAAAGGGCAAATAAGGTGACTTATTATCTGGTGATTTGTAATCAGTGACCTGCAGCAGGGGAGTTTTCCAGATGATTGGCTTGGAGACTCACTAGGACTGTTCCCTGAACTACCTATTTACCCTCTGTCTCTTGCTTGCCTCACTTGGAGAGAGAGACTCCAATGTGACCCGTTTATTTGTGTGATTGCACACTTTTAAAAGTTCCTGAAAAATACTTGTGAACAAGTCATATTGTCCCTAACTTTCCGAATGGGGAATCTGAGTTAGTGAGATTCATCTAGAGCGTTGTAAACACGTTAAAGATTAAGGCCTGTATACACCTCTGGCCTGGCTGTTCCAGAAAAGTAGCAAAAATGAGTTCTGAACATGGGCATTAATCCTGGCAATATTCATTTAATTAGCCAGGCAGTAGTGGCATATGCCTTTAATCCCAGTACTCAGGAGGCAAAGGCAGGTGGATCTCTTGAGTTCCAGGCCAGACTGGTCTACACAAAGAAACCCTGTCTACAAACAAACAAAAAATCCACTTGGTAAGTGCTTACCATCAGAATGTTAAAAGTTTAAATGGAGTGTTGTGGTACCAGCCTCTGTAATTTCAAAGGATCCCCGGAACTGGTTCTACAAAGATTTTGAGCTATGGGGGTTCTGGGAACTAAACCCAGGTCCTCTAAAAAAGCAGCCATCTCTCCAGCCCAACTCGGGAGGTAATGTAGGAGGATCTCCCAGTTCAAGGTCAGCCTGGGCTACAGTGGAGAAAGGTAGACTTTATGGAGACGAGATAGGGCCATTGGTGTCCTAACAATGTTAAGCTTTGAATTTGTTGTTTTTTTTTTTTTAGGCGCTCAGAAACACATAATGTCAATAGTCCGCTCACCTGTCCATGCCAAATGGGTCGTGGGGAAGGTAATTGGTACAGCCATGGTAAAAACTGCTAAAGTAAGAGCGACCAGACTTGTTTTGGATCCCTACTTACTAAAGGTAAGGAACAACACCTGTTTTAGGTGGCATTGATAAGTTACTAGGGCCAGAGCAGAAAAGCATTCCCCTGTGGATGAAAGATAAATTGAACATCTGCAGCAATCTAGACATTGCTGGGCTGTGGGTATAACCTGGTTCATAGGAGGGTTTCAGGAACACCCAGTTCATCTAAGTTCACTCTGTAGTCATTTGCTGAACAAAACAACATGAGAACAGAGAACAAGAAACTTTATTCTTTCCTCCCAGATTGCCATAAGGGGAGGTCTCAGTAAAGAGACATTTGAGCTGACCCTCCACTAAGATTTTCTTCCTGGACCAGTTAACAAAAAGTTATTCCAACCATGATGAATAGTTTGTGGTAGTTCTTTGGGAGAAGGGGGCTTTTCAAGACACGGTTTCTTTGTGTAGCCTTGGCTGTCCTGGAACTCACTCATACATCAGACTCACTGAGATCCGCCTGCTTCTGCCTCCTGAGTGCTGGGATCAAAGGTGTGCAATACCACCAACCAGCCTCATTATAATGTTTGTCTTGGTAACTTTAGAGCCTCCTTTTGTGGTGGAAAGAAACTGAACTTGGGAAGTGGTTCAGTGACTCACACAGCTAGTGGACAGGGTGTGTTTGTAGGCTGGAGTGGAGGCCTGAGTAGGACAGTTAGTATAGAGACAGATAGAAAACCATTGATTTAGAGCCAGCGCAATTAAAGGGATGTCCTCTGTAGCTCAGAAATGTCTCTGGGAAAGGAAAGTCATTGCCAGTTTCCAAAAAGCAGCCAATCGTTGTACTAGAAGCTTCCAAAAGTATTTCCTCTTCCATTGCCAAGCCCTGGCTGGTTTTCTGTGCATTGTTTCTCCATGTTCTTTTTGGGCCACCAGGTCACAGATGGGAGTTACTGATTTGTTTCCCTCCCTCCTCTTGACAGTACTTCAACAAGCGGAAGACCTACTTTGCCCACGATGCCCTTCAGCAATGCTGCGTTGGGGACATCGTGCTCCTCAGAGCTCTGCCCACTGCTCGATCAAAGCATGTGAAACATGAACTGGCCGAGATCATTTTCAAAGTGGGCCGAGTTATCGACCCAATCACAGGAAAGCCCTGTGCAGGAACAACCTACCTAGAGAGTCCACTCACATCAGAAACCACTGACCTGAGCAAAACTCTGGAAGAACTCAAGATCTCTTCCACATAGAGAAGAAGGAGCCAGAAGGATTTCTGTGTCTCCTCTCTGACTCTCATTACTGACCATCCAGTTTCTCTTGTGACATTAATGAAATAGTAAAAAGTAAATGAAGCCAAGAGCTTACGATGTTCCATAAAGGTTTATGTCATGTTTCCAATCTCCGCACTGACCTTGCTTTCAGACTGTGCTGTATGCCCACGTATGCTGCATCACTTTGTAAGCTTGCTATCCCAAACCCATGTTTTCTTGGTGTGTTTTGCTCTGTTTTTTGTTTTTTTTCTCACAGAAATCTTAAACTTATCTTAGCACCTTTATTTTGAAAGAAGGAAACCTTTTGATAAGAATACATAAGGTGCCAAGTGGTGGTAGTGGTGCACACCTTTAATCTTGGCACTGGGGAGGCAGAGGCAGGCAGATCTCTGAGTTCGAAGCCAGCCTGGTCTTCAGAGTGAGTTCCAGGGCTACACAAAGAAACTGTCTGGAAAAACAAAATTCATAAATCATAGTCACAGCACTTTCATTGTTTGGGAATTTGTTTTATTTGAGAATGGGGCTCACATTTTAACCCAGGTTGGCCTCAAACTTCCAGCAATCTCTGTCCTCGGTTACCTGAGTGCTGGGATTACAGGTGTGAGCCAGCATGTCCATCCAGGAAGTTGCAGGACTCTATATGCATTTGAGATGGAGGTTTCTGAGTTGCTGTTTATCAATGTTACAACTGACAATGATACACACACTATTTTATTTTTAAAGATGTATGTATTATGTGTAAAGTGTTAGCCTGCATGTACACCTGCAGGCCAGAAGAGGACGCCAGATCTCATTACAGGTGGTGATGAGCCACCATGTGGTTGCTGGGAATTGAACACAGAACCTTTGGAAGAGCAGCCAGTGCTCTTAATTGCTGAGCCATCTCTTCAGCCCAGGTTTTTGTGTGTTTGTTTGTTTGGTCTATGAATTTCAGTTTTCTAAGACCTAGAAAGAGACTTAGGGTATATTTGAATTTCAGTTAATATGTATAATATATATGTGTTTCTTGTTTGCTTTGTTATTGTTTGGAGGTAGTGTCTCAGTTTATAGCCTAGATGTGCCTTGAATTTAGTCATCCTTCCTCAAGCCCCTGGGTAGCTAGAATGAATACATAGATATATGCCACCATGCCTCGCTTACTAGAGGTTTGAGTGGTGAGCACAGCCATTGGTCATCAGGCTCATGAAGTAGGGAGGATGCATAGGTACCCTTATGACAAATAGGGACCCGTAGAAGGTAAGTGATGAGAGACCAAATAACTTTTCCAGAGCTGGGATGGTGCCAGAACTAAATTTTGAAATCTATAGACTAGTAAAGGGTATGAAAAAGACATTTCAAACAGGAAAAAGTGTAAACTCCTAAGTAAAAACATGACCAATGAGGCTGGAGAGATGGTTCAGTGGTTAGGAACACTGACTGCTTTTGCAAAGGACCGAAATAACATTCACAACACCAGTATCACACAACTAAAAACTGCTACGTCCAATTCCAGAGGATCTGGCGCCCTCTTCTGGCATCCATGGTCACTGCATGCATACATACATTCAAACAAACTCATGTATTAATCTTTATTTTTTAAAACATAACTAGGAGTTCTTAAAGCAGAAGAGAATTGCTGGGACATTTTGAACATAGGTAGGCATCAGAGAAACAGGATAATGGATTATTTAAGATTTTCAAAGAAAATGATGTATTTACATCATTGTAGAAAACAGAATAGAGTAAGATGAAAGGCTAAGAAACTGACTTTAAAAGATTGATCCTTCCACGTGCTGGTGGTGCATGCCTTTAATCCCAGCACTCGGGAGGCAGAGGCAGGAGGATCTCTGAGTTCCAGAACAGCCAGGACTACACAGAGAAACCCTGTCTGAGTGGGAGGGGGACAGACGAGAGGACACAGGACTGATCCTAAAACCTAAACCTTGTACAGAGGTGGGATGACTATGTTCATAAGGAAAACTCTTGGCTTGGTGCCAGGATAGGTGATGGAAGGGAAAGCCTTTTATTGGATCCTAATGCTGCAATCCTCCGACATAGTTCCGGGTACTTGGACATGGGCAGATTCTCCTGAAGAGGATAGAGGAGCAGTGTCTCAGTTCCTAAGACCCCTTTTGGGGTCACAACCCACAAATTGAGAACTGCTGTTTTAGAATGTTTGGATCTCTGGCAGGTAGAGCTGATACCTGTCAGACCACTCAGGTCTCCAGCTCTGAGCATCTGTAAAATACATGATAGATTAAAGTGCCCTGGGCTTGAGATGCAGCTCAGTGGTAGACTACTGGCCTGTCAATCACAAGACCGTTAGGAAGAACTTCCTGATGATGTACACCTATAATGTAGCGCCCTTGCCACCAAGCCTGACAACCCAAGTTCCACCCCTGGGACCCACTTGGTAAAAGAATAGAAAGTTTTCCTCTGGCCTTTATACGCTTGACATGGTCCAAGTGCCTGCCTGCTCACACATGCACTAATACATAAATGTAAATTATGAATTTAAACCTTTTAATTGGGCTTCAGGAGGACTCTTTAATGAGGAATATGGACCTAGTGATGCACACCCTTAATCTCAGTACTCAGGCAGACAGAGGCCAGCCTGGTCTACATAACTGAGTGCAGGCTAGCCAAAACTACATAGTGAGAAACTGCCTCAAAAAAGAAAGGAAGGGAAGGAGAGAAAGAAAAAAGGGAAGGGAGAGGGAAGGAAAAAGAAAATTATCAGTAGTTCTAAACTTTCCTAATGCTGCAACCATTTAATACAGTTGCTGGCATTCATGCACGCAGACCTGCCTGGAGATGGACAGAGGAGTGGTATCAGTTCCTAAGCCCATCAGAAATATGTGTTTTCTGACAGTCTCAGGCAACCCGGGGGGGGGGGGGGCACGATCCACAGGTTGAAAGCACTAGGGCCTAGAGCCACAGGTGGTGGGATACACCTGTAAACCAGCACTCAGGAGGCTGAGGCGGGGAATTGCACATTCAAGACAAGGCAATTTAGTAGACCCTGCTTCAAAACTAAATTGAAGATGTGCCGCTCATTGGTAGAGCTTTGCCTAGTACAATCGTCAGTATTTTGGGGAAGAAAACTGGACTAAAAGAACTAATGAGAGCCCAGAGCAAAATGGCAATGAAGGGGGCAAAAAATACAGAATAAATAAATACTCTAATGCTAAGTAAAACGAAAGCAGAGCCAGCAAAGAAATGCAGAAATGCCAAGTCTGCATCCCAACAGAGATACAGGTGGAAGCATGTGGGTGTCCATAAAGACAGCTGCACTCTTTCTTAGCACAAGGTCAGGGAATGCAAAACTGTCCTCAGCAAGTCATAAGACCTAAAAGGCCAAAGGACATTTGGCTGTCTTATTCTAAATAAAAACAGACCTGAATTTGAGGTGTGGCTACTCCTGACCCTCAAGGATAGGAAACAAGTAGAAGCTAAGGTGTGGCTACTGAACCCTTAGAATAAGTGAGGAAGAAAAGTCTGTGTGTTCCATGTACATGATACTGTGTTCCCCTTTTTGGATAAGGTATATAATAGTTGTAAAAAATAAACTCGTGGCATTTCAGTATTGACAGATCTGCCCTCCTGACTTTTATTCTATGTCTCTGTCTTTTATCATCTATAGCTAGCCATTTCAGTATTGACTGATCTGCCCTCCTGACTTTTATCCTGTGTCTGTCTTTTCTTTATCGTCTATAGCTAGCCTTTCCCTCATCCACACCCCCCCCCACTCAGGTATGAACTTCTTTCCCTCATCCACTCAGGTACGGACTTGGGGCTGCTCAGCTAGTTGTGACTGCAGCCCCACAAAACAGCTCCTGACAGAAGCTCCTGACAGAGTTTGAAACCAGCCTGAATCGCCTAGTGGAGGGCCTGTTTAAATAAATATAAATAAGTAAACTGGATATGATGATTTCTGCATATAATCCCCAGGATTACTGTCAGAACACAGCCCAAAAATGAAGTCCTTCCAGGAGAGTTTTGGGTACTTGTAAGAGAACTCCAAGAAAACAAGACAAGAGTCTCGTGGCCTCGGTTTCTTCAAGACCAGGTATAGGGGACAGCTGAGTTTAATCCAGATTAGTCACTATTTCTTGCTGCTGTGATTATATGCCTCTATGGGAAAACCTGTTTTTGCATGTGTGTCTTGTGCTTGTGATTGTGTAGGTTACCCATATGATTCTTCTTAGTATAAACTGTCTGGTGCTGAGTAAAGTTGGCTATTACATGAGACTTCAGTTTGCCTCATTTTTAGGTCCATTCTCCCAGGTTCAACCACCTCAAGAGTGGTTAACAAATGACTACAAATCTGAAGCCAGACTGGGTTACACAGCAAGACTCTATCTCAAATAACTTAAGAAACTGAGGATCTGTGTAAGAAACATGGGGCCCACCCGCTCTTAAGGAGGCCCTGCCCCAGCAAGACTCATATCTGCCTGCCACAGATGGCTCTACAGTTGTATGAAACACCCTCCGCCTTTTCTCCCTCAAAAGAACACATGTCTGTCCCAGTGTGAATCAGCCCCCCACCACTCAAAGACACGCCCTGTCCTTGATGCCTCTGCTATATTAACATGTTCAAATTCTGCTTGTTAGAAAACTGCATCCACGAGGCTGGAGAGATGGCTCAGTGGTCAAAACCACTGGCTGCTCTTCCAGAGGACCCGGGTTCTCAGCACCCACACGGCAGCTCACAACTGTCTATAGCTCTAGTCCCGGGAATCCAACACAGATGTAAATTCAGATGAAACGCCAATGTACAAAATAAAAATAGAAAAAGAAAAGTACACCCTTTGAGCTTCAAGTTTACAGTTTGTAGTAAACCAGCTCCCATCCCTCTTACCAGAACCATGCAGGCAGCCGCTGGACAGTAGCTTCCTCTTGGCCTCTGAAGCCTGGCCCTAGACCCTGAAGACAGGCTGAGACCCAGGCTGTTCTCTGTTACTGATTCCTTAGGATCTAGCTCTGGTTTTGCCTACTCTTGTCTTGCTGAAATCTTGTCATTTTCAATATTCTTCGTTCTGTTTTTCAGCTCTCTACTGTCATTTTCAATATCCTGAACCTTTTCTTCTAAGGATTCTATGTTTTGCGTTCTAATTTCAAG